AGAAGCCAGTTTAACTGGTTAGTGACCTTTTGACATCTGCAAAATCATGGTAATTCCCTGAGAAGAAACATTTGGGTCACTTGCACAAAAGAACTCCTTAAAATCCCTACTTGACATCCCACCAATAACGTCCCCTGTTTCTTTCCTGAAATTTCCCCGATATCAACTGTTGGAAGAGGCAGACCTGATTTTCCTCTAGAGCTCCTGGCCTCCTCGTTTAGTTGATGTGAAAAAAGCTTTTCCTTTTTGTGAAAACCCTATCCCATAATATTAATGTCTAAGTACTCCGGGCAGCAAGATCTTGGTGAGTTCATTTTGGTGCTGCTGAGAGTTTTAAGCCTTGAGGTACACCCTGTGGTAAGTCCCAGTGGTAAGGTGAATGCTTTCCTTCTCATGGGAAAAAGAACAGGAAAGCGGAGAACCACCAGGACACCTGGACTACAGACTCTTCTTCAGAGCAGTTTTAGAGTAAAAATATCCCATAGGACTGCCGAGCATCTGCGAATTGATTTCTGTACTAGTACAGTACTGTACTAGAACAATTGGGGTAGGACAAGATGGATGATAATGAAAGAAGGGACAAGAACTCTTATTTATTTTATAGTTATTAAAATTTTTTACTAGTACATATTTATAGTACATAATGTTTACATTCTTTGTGAAGAGTTGATGTACATAACACAGCTCTTTCTTCATTCCCTTTCCTCCCCTCCTCCCCTCCCTCATCTCTTGGTCCCCATTCCATTTGAGAAAGATTTATCTTTCTATGCCCTATTATTTATCTTTTATTTTGCTCTTCATTTATAATTTGGGTTTCCCATATAGGAGAAACCATGTGATATTTGAGCTTGTATGTCTGATTTATTTCACATAATATTATGGTATCAAAGTACATCCATTTTCTTAAAAATGACTCAAGCTTATCTTTATGGCAGCATAGTACTCCATTGCACATTTATCCATTATCATTGATGAATATATAAATCACCTCTAAGATTTAGCTATAGTGAATTTGCTACAATCAGCATGGATATGCATATATCACTGTGATAGGATATTTTTTAAAATTTTATTTAAAGTGAAAAAAACAGAAAAAGGGTACAAGTAATACAAAATTTCAAAAAAAATAAACTGTAAGAAATCACTAGTTAATAGATTATATATTATTATCTTAGAAATAGTTGTTCAAGTTACCAAATTAAAGCATACAAAGTGGGCATTCAAACAGTGAGACTGCAAACAGTTCAGTTCAATGATCCAACAAAAACTTAGTAATATGGTTATCTATCTTACACACTTAAATAAACATGCAGTTATATTCTTTAGAGCACTTTGATTTCCTCCCTTTTTTACAATAACATTTACACATTTTGGGTTTTATTACTCACACAGTTCTTATTACTTTTTTTGAAGAGAATAAAACCAAATGTGACAAAACAAAACAGAGTCAGTCAAAACAAGGATGGACATAGTACATGATGTAAAAGCAGAATACAAGGTGATCAACAGTGGTAACAGAGGCATAGTGCCTCTTGCTATCTTAGAAACAATTGCCTACATCACTGTGATAGGGTGTTTTTAACTCTTTGGGGAAGATACCTAAAAGAGGGATAACTGGGTCAAATGACATTTCTTGTTTTAGTTTTTTGAGGAATCTCCATACTGATTTCCATAATGCTTGTACTAGTTTATATTCCCACCAAAAATGTAGAAGGGTTCCTTCCTCCCACAGCTTCAACATTTGTTATTGTCTGATTTCTTGAAAATGGATAAGCAGAACCAATATAGTCAATATCTGCCAAAACTGAGACAGATTTAATGCATTCAATCAAAATAACAACAGTATTCTTCACAGAACTGGAAAAAATAATTGTCAAATTCATATGGAATCAAAGAAATCCAGAATAGCAAAAGAAGTCCTGGGTAACAAGAGCAAAGCTAGAGGCATAGTAGTCTTGGACTTGAAGTTACATAGTATTACAAAGCTACAGTGATAAAAAATGGTATGGTACTGGCACAAAAGCATGAGGATCGGTAGAACAGAATGGAGGATGCAGAAGCAACCACAAGCACATTCAACTATTTGACCTTTGACAAAGGGACCAAAAAATACACTGGCAGGAAGACAGCTGTTTAGTAAATGGTGTTGGGGAAACTGGGTATGTGCAGAAGCTTCCATCTAGACCCGTATCTCTCACCATATTGTACTAAACTACAATCAAAGTGGTTGAAAGAACTAAATGTTAAAACAGAAACACTTAACCTGCTGGAGGATAAAGTAGGTAAAACCCTCCAAGTCATTGGCACGGGCAAGGACTTTCTGAGCAGAGCCCTGGTTGCACAGGAAATAGTACCAAGAGTTAATGAATGGGATCACATTAAATCAAAAAGCTTCTACTCTGCTACAGAAACAACAAATAAATTGAAAAGAACCAACAAAATGGGGGAAAATTGCCAATTATTCCTCAGACAGTGGACTAGTAGCTGGAATATATAAAACATTTTGAAAGACAGGATACAGCACAGAAGCAGGGTAGGAAGGGCAAAGGTGTGAGGGAAGACAGACAGAGGTGACACTGAAGAGTGAATCCAGTTTTGACTAAGTCTGGCCCGCTGTGTTACCAACTCAGCACTGATTCCCCAGTGCAGGATTTAGAATCAAATGTTTTTGTCTTGTGCACTGTAGTCAAAACAAAAATAAGCTAGAAAATAATGCATTTTTGGTTTTGAGACAGTGTGTTGCATGGGCCTGACTTCTATGCAAGAAAGGATCAAGAAGGGAACTCAGATTAAGATTTGAAAGAGGCTTGCAGAAAGAGGTCATGATTAGAAGATATAGTACCATTTTTAAGAAAGCAAGAGGAATTAAAATCTAGAGAGGGAGGGTGCTTCTGTGTTTATGTCATTAGCACTGATTTAGTTGTAGAGGTTATTTACTCTTCCAAAATTAAATTAAAATGCCCTTATAGCAGGAATAATGCAGTTCAGTTCAATTTCAATGGGAGTATTCACTCCTTAGCATTTTCAAAACTCTTAAGGGTCTTACATACAACACACGCGAATATTTTCAGTGTCCTAGGGAAACAGATCATTTCTCTAATTAGTTTATTCATCTGTAAATTGACAGGTAGGTCTGTCTTAATTTAGGGAAAACTTTGTCATCCTACTTAACATTATTACTGATATAATTAAAAATCACTTTGTTAGGAGGTAGAAAATCAATTAAGCTAATGTTTAAAAACATTCTTTGTGATGGGAAGTAAAACAACAAAATTAATTTTAATGTTTTGTTCGAATCGCAAATTTGTGAAGCTCTATTGTTACCCTACTTTGAATACATAATTTTAAAACTGAAAATATTTGTAGATTGTTTTCCTATTTTTCAGCATAACCTTTAACTGTATTCACTGAAATGAAGTTATTCATCTACCTATTTATAGAAATTCTTTTTCCTAATTGTGGGTCTTAAGCATATGCATGTGTCTCATCATTTAACACTACCTTTATGAAAGCAAAAGCAAATATTACAGTCACACAAGTGTAGAATAATCCTGTGCAGGTGATACCTACTTACCTGTGAAGTCAAGGAAGTCATCCCAGACAGAGCTTTCTGTTGTGAACTAGGGTGATCTGCTCCTGCTGAGGTCAGGGGGGTCATATTCCCACCCCATAATCCTAGTGTTGATTCATAAAGTTCAGTAGATGGGAGAGTGTTTCTTCCTTGGCTTTGGCTTTATTTTAACAGCTTCTTTTTTCCCCCTCCCAAAATACAACTCATTAGCAAATGCCACCTAAACGGTACTTCCTTTGTGACTTGCAGCTGGCTTTGTTATGCATTTGTCAGACCCCAAGTGCTGGGTTGGGTATTTCTGGAAAGCACTTTATTTGCTTTAGTTGTACAAACCGAGCTGCCTGAGCTGTTAAAATACAGTACCGGGTTATCTGTTTTTGCATCTTAATGAAAGGTTCTGGTGGTTGGTTCTAGGAATAGTGTGGAAAGCAGTGTTGGAGCCCCACCCCCGCCCCCTCCCTCCCACCCGTGCTGCCCCCCAATTAGGTGGGATGCACTGGGGGCTCCGGCGACCCCCACGGAAGGGCTTCCTGCCTGCTAGTGCTTATCTAACCCAGCTCAGTGCTTGCGGGTAGTGGGCTGGGTGGGGAGGAAAGGAGGAGTGAAAAGCTAATTTTGGTGCAGGAGGTTCAGGCCAGAGCTGGGGAGGAGGTGCTAGAGGGGAGAGAGCTGAGCCAGGGCGCTACCCTCTGCCAGGCGAGCGAGCGTGGCCAGTTTTTGTGGCTGTCTTCTGGTGGTTCGGATACATCACTGAACTCTAGTCTTTTATGTGAAGTCTGGATGGGACAACTGAATAGAGGATGGCAGCTTGGGGTCTCCTGCCACCTCCAAATCAGGCTGTGAATGCTCCCCTACCTCGTGGGCACCCAAGGCCACCAGCCTTTTTAAGAGTCTGCACTTGCCCGGCCAGCATCCTTATGCTGGGCGTGGGAGTGTGGTATCAAAGGGTAAACCCCACCAATCAACTCAGTCAGCCAGCTCAGCCAACCAGCCAATCAGCCAACCAGCCAACCAACCAAACAACCAACCTGGCAAACAACTAGACACAAATCAACCAACTCCTCAATCAGCCAGTCAAACTGATCAGTCAGTCAACCAGCCAACTAAGCAACCAACCAATCAACCAATCAAGCAACTAAACACTAACCAACCAGCCAGCCAGCCAGCCAGCCAGCCAGCCAACCAACCAACCTGCCAACAAACACCAGGGAGGGGCAGGACAAAAACCCCAGGAAAAAAATCCCTTTCTGAACAAGAGGTCCCGCGCCTATTTTTCCACTGGTCTCTGCAAGTTAGGGCACTGGGCATGACTTGGGGCATTGAGATGCTACCAAAGCCCACTGATAACACTGTCAAGATACCCACAGAAAAGCAGCCTCACCCACACCCAGAACACTCATGCTGACAGCACCGCTAAATGCAGGGTCTATAGCCACAGGAAGGGACAATGAGGAAGTCACAGCAATGTTTAAGACAAAAGCCACAAACTGAGCAAGGACCAGAAGCACTGAGCGAAGGGTGGAAGAGGAGGACTTCATTTTTCAAATAATCTGAATGGCCAGGTCCTGTTACAACACTCAAAAGCTCATACGGGAGTGGTTTCTCTCAGTCTGACAGTTTGTTTTTCCTCATCTTTAAAGTTACTATAACATAATTACAGGTTATTTTATATTATGATTTAAAAGTAATCATTTTTAAATTGAAATTTAAGATCTCAATTTTCCTTTTTTCCTTTCTTTTATACTGGGAACTGAACCTCATGCTTGCCAGACAGGTGCTGTGCAGCTGAGGTCCATCCCCAGCCCAGTATTTCAATTTTAAAAGTTGTTATTCTTCAAAAGTAACATTTTTATTTGGTTTGCTTACAGTGTTTTTTCTTTTATTGCTCTCAGCTATGCCTTGGCCATACCTGTGGGACCTGCCTCAAAGTCTTAATTTCTAAGGTGGCTTCCATGAAGGAACAGAAGAAAATGTAAGTGAATGTATATATACTCTTGAGAAAACTTTATATACTGGTGAGAAAACTTTTCCCAATAGAATTTGGAAAAATTATTTCAACATTATATCAGACATGTGTATGTGTTAATACACAGATCAATACAAAACAGATCAATACAAAATTTAAAAGCAGAAAACAAAGGCCATTTCCAAAGAACTAAATTATAAATGATAGTTAATAAAGAATTGTACAATGATTTTTAATCAATAAAAATAGATATTTGAAGTTTTTTTGAGACAGGGTCTTGCTTTGTAGTTCAGGAAGGATTTGAACTCACTATGTAGCCCAGACTGGCCTCAAAATGGTGGGAAGCCTCCTGCCTCAGCCTCCCCAGTGCTGGGATTATAGGTATGAGCTACCAATGTGGTTGGTCAGACATTAGAAATTTTTCATTTTATAGCCTGACAAAAACTTTATCAATGTTGGCAAAGATGTGAGGGGATAGCTGCTCAAACTGGCTGCCCAGAAACTTTCTGGAGGGCACCTGGACTTTGGTCATTAAGATTATTCAAAAGTGAAGAATCTTTGATCAGGCATTTATTCACAGATATTCATCCTAAAGCATAGCTGATATAGACATACTTGTGTTTATAAGAGTAATAGTCACTGTTGTTTATCATAGTGAAAATTGCTAATGACCTAAATGTTCAACAAAGGGAGTGATTAAATATATAAATACATATTTAGAACATATAAATACTCTAATAAATAAATGCATATTTATTTGTATGTATACTTAATACATATGTATACAAACCCAGGGCCTCTCATATGGTGGCACGTACTTTACTAGTGACCTGTAGCCTCAGCATGTGTAGTTTGGAAAAGCGGCACAGAACAGTGGTTTAGTGACTGAAATCAGAAGTCTACTGAATCAATAACTTTTCCCCTTCTAGGCTCCATGCTTTAAAAGCTGTGTGCACATAAGTTACCTAACATGTGAGTGCCGCAAGGAATGTAGGGCTACAGGGATGGCAGGTAAAACTGAGATTCCAGTACAGTCGGCCCGGAGCCTGTGTTCTTACCGCCCTGGGCTTTTTAGTAAAAGTAAAAAGGGAGGAGAAATGAAAATGGGGGAGAGAGGGAAGAGAACAACACACACAAACCAGACCAGAACACGGGGCAGAGCAGAGTACGGAATCCACTATGTTTTAGGGATTTTCTCAAGGCAAGATCTTACTTCACCTTTGTCACTGAAGTCCCTAGCTCCACACCTGGTGCCCAAGGGAGACTTACAAATGAAAGATCCACCAGCTCACAGGCTGGCGTGGAGTGGGAATTTGTCTTAATAATGGGGCCGGGGATTTAGCTCAGTGGCATAAGTGCCTGCCTGGCAAGCACTAGGTCGTGAGTTCGATCCCCAGTACCAAAAAACAAAAACAAAAACAAAAAAAACGGGGCCACCAGCTGGATGCTTGGATTTGGAATTTAGAAACCAAAAGAAAAGAGCAGAGCAAGTCTGCCCAGGGGCGAGCAGGCCCGTGTGGAAGATGGCAGGGAAGGGATCTGCTTATTTCAGACCCCATAACCTCTTCTCTTTAAGGTTGAACTATATATCAGTGGTTCCTGGGGCTCTAATTAGAATCCCAAGTATTTCCTTCTGTTTCCTAAAGGACGGAGAACTGGCCGACTTGTCACCAGAGGCCTTTCCCCTTCTAATCAGCCAGATGGCAGCTGCAGGAAGTGGCTGCCTAAAGCAGCAATCACAATGCGGTGTTGACAAGGTCTTCAGCTGCGCCCGCCTGTGCCCAGGACTGCCTTTATTTTGTTCATTTTAGTTTCAGTAGTACATATTTGTAGTACGTGTTGATTACCTTCCTGGTGGGATAGGTACACGTATATAACACATCCCAATTCTTTTTATTCCCCTTCCTCCCTGCTCCCTCCTTCCCCTCACATTCTCTCCTCATTTCACAAATATCCACCTCCCTACTTCCTATTGGCTAGCTCTTCTTTTGCTCTTTAAATTATTTATGCTCTGGTTTTCTCATCTAAGAGAAACCATGTGGTATTTAATCTGACTTATTTCACTTAACATTAGCGTCAGGATGCACCCATTTTCCTACAAACAATGTGCCCATTATCCTTTATGTTTCTGAACCTGGGGTAGTAGTAGTTTTTCATCAGTTGGACTTTCTATATTTAGGTAGGGATGGTTTGACAAGACAACAGCTATTTGATTAATGTATTAGGTCAAAATAGAAAGCTGTTTTAAGAAAATTCTTCAGTTGAAAAAGTCCTCAAAAAGCCCTTCAACAAAACAAAACAAAAAACAAAACACAAGTAGTTAAGAAAAAAGTCTCTGAAACTCATAATTCATTGCTGTTCTCGAGAATCTCAAAATTTTACAGACTTTGTAAATGGTTCAAGGTATACATGGCATTTGTGTTTGTGTATTTTTTAAAACATGGAATTTGGCAGAAAAAGAAGATGCACCTAACTCATTAAGAGCACTCTATACCTTTCATGATCTTTGAGGAAAGGGGCTGGGGTGTGACTCTGCCACCAGAGATTTCTCTTTGACAAGACAGATTTAAAGGTTAACTCTGGCTTCCCTTCGCTAGAGAGTGTCCTGTTCAGATGTGTTAACAGAGAGAAAGCAGAGAGTTTCATGACAATGCTGCTGAGCCTTTGAAAAGTTGGCAAACAGATTGTGCTGCTTCTGGGGACTCAAGCTGCAGATCGCGCTCCTGGACCTCTCATTAGAACGGGGACAGTGTCCAAGCATCCTTAATTGCTGGAAGCCATACACCTGCCACTTAATTTCCTTGGTGCCACCTGTGAGTTATACCTAATATTAGACAACAAGACCATTTGTTCATTCAGTTTTCTTTCTGTTTGCTCACCCACCCACAAACCTTCAGATCCATTGAAAAGTTGAGGGTGATCATTTAAAACTGAATACTGTTTCTGTTGGTACAGATATTCCCACTTGGCAAGTGTGAAATGACATGGTTTATGGTTAAATGGATTATATTTTCCCATCAAAACAACATTATAACTGAGAGCTTGCATCTGCTCACATTTTCAGGAAAAATTACAAACAGGGCCAATATGGTTAGCAAAACCAACAACGTAAGTGAAACCCAACAAACTTAAATGATGACATGAAATAACCCATAAATAAACTATAAAATAAAATAAACTCTAAGTAGAAGTACATTTTAAGACATGGAATCTTAGGGATGGTGGGAATTTTGAAAACCTTTTCTTTATCCCATGACTGAGAACAAAGTTCAAAGAGAAGCAAGGACTTGCTTAGCGTCATGACATAACTCAGAAAAGTTAAGGTGACCGGACTGTTCTCTAGGGTTCTCAGGTCTGTATTTCTTTTCTTATACCATGTCTTCCATCAGAAAAATCCTAGCACATCTGTCTGTCTGCCTGCCTTCTGTCTGTCTATCTCTCTATCCATCAATCCATCCATCCACCCATCCATCCATCCATCCATCCATCCATCCATCCATCCATCCATCATCTGTTTATTTACCTGGTAAAGGGAACTTCCCTTTCCCTCTTTAAGTCTGCTGAAATACACAGATAATAGATTAACAGAAGAGACATACAAGCATGCCATATGCATAGGGGCTTCCAGGAAAGTTAGCTGTCTGAAATTCAGTGAAATCTGAAAGATTAAATGCCTTCTTTACAGGAGAGTAGGAAGCAGAGGATGTACACTGTGTTAGAGGAAGAAAAAATGAATTTTAGGGGCTGTGAAAGTGTTTAAAGGACAGACAATAACCTGGGATGAAGTACGCCTGGGCTCTCTGGGTATCTTGTCAACTCATCTTCATCCTCCTGCTAATCTTCTGGAAGATCTGGTCTTCAGCTAGATGGGAACTTTGGAAAAAGCATTTTTTTGGGGGGAAAATGGGACAACCAATGCGGGGGGAGGCACATACAAGAGAAGGTTTGGGAGACTTTTGTTTTGAGGCTGTTATTTTAGTTTGAAGTTCTCAGCGTGCCACACTTTGAGGTATGGCTTTTGAAGCCTCAACTCTATCTATCACACTGCTTAAATAGGAGTCCACGAAACTGTGAAATGTGCAGACAATGTGAAGAGATACAGCTGTAGTTCACGTTTGTGAATTTATAGCTATCCAAAGTCAATGTGATCAGCGTAACTAGTTTAACAATTGTTTGCTCTATCAAGATCTAGTAAGACGTGGAAAAAAAAATGGAGAAGCCTGTGTCTGTTAGTAAAACTGCCCGGGAATGTCTAAGCTTAATTACTATTAAGTGACCTCCACGGCCTGCCTGACCTGCGTCCATCCAGCCCTAGTTCCCTCATCACAGCACCCCAACTGTGGGTCCCCGCCCCTCCGATGACCCTGAGCAGTGTCTGCGCCCACACATCGAACTGCTTTATGACTTCTTGCTCATGGTCAGGGTGGAAAAGGGACGTGACCCAGGTCAGGGTTACAGGGTGACCTTCACGGGAGTTACCGAAAGAGGGCTTTGAGGGGTTCCTTTCCGAGCATGAGACCGGCTACTGCTGGCCACTGAGCTCCCAATGAAGTTAGCCTACGTTTATTAAGTCCATTGATGGATTTCCCTGGTTTATAGCCAAAAATGGAATCACAGGAGAAAATAAGTCCTTCGCTTCCTCTTCCTGCCTTTTCAGTACATTCTTACTAACCCCACTATACACAGACTCTCGGCTTAGCACGGGAGATGTCACAGTCAACCTGAACTGAGAAACCCTCCACAAAGGCGCTTACAGGTACAACAGGGTTTCTCTACATTTGTTTTTGCATTAGCACTGCCCCCAAGCCTTTTTCTAATGTCCATTGTGAAAATTTGATGCTACACATATACTGTATATATTTTTATGACATATATATATATATATATATATATATATATATATATATATATAGTAGTAAGATTCTTTTCACCTTTTCGTCTTCTTGGAGTCTATGCTGACTCCGCTGAGCGTGGCTTTAGGGGAAGAGACAGGAGCAGGTGTCTTAATGACACGCATTAGGGAAGGATATTCCCAAGGCAGGGGCCCCTACTCAGGTACAGAAAGCGAGGGCATTGGAAGGTCCTTCACAGAACAGCCATTGCAACACATAAATACTTGTAAGTCTCACCTTCCTCTTCCCTTCTGTTCTTTCCTCCAGCTTGATGTTTTCATGCAGCAGCAGCAGTGTGGAGCCTCAGAAGAAAACAGAAGACAGAAGCCTGGGGGGGATAGCAAGGGGTGCGGGGAGGAGGCTCTGGTCAGAAGCCTTGGTTTTGTGGCAAATTGACTTATTTTCTATCATGTCTCTAAAATGTCTTTCTCATCTTTGCTACCATTTTCATAAAGTCTGCATCATCCTTGGTCTGGGCAATAATTTCTCTTTTCTTACACATTTATATAAGACCTACAATGTTTCAGGTGCTTTCTATTATCATCTCAGTCAGCACAATCTCCCTGTGAGCCAGGGATCAATAGCTTCATTTTATAGATGAGGAAATGGAGGCTCAAAGGTTTTAGAGACCTGCCCAAAGTTAGATGCTAATAAGGCACAGACACAGCTGGCATCTGGACCCGGGGTGGGGGGGATTTATGTCTGTGCTCCTTCTATTAGATTTGTAAGTGAAGGATTTTGAAAATTTTAAAAAGTGATAATTGAATATATTTGCTTTATTTTTATTTATTTATTTATTTTGGTGCCAGGAATTGAACTCAGGACCTTGCGCTTGTTAGGTAAACACATTTGCTTTAAAAGAAAAAAAAAAAAAAAAAGGAGATATTATAGGTTAATATTCTCTCCTCTCTATTCTTACTTGCTAGTCTTATTTCCCCACCTCCTGAAGGTAACCCCTGATGCAGCTGTAGATTTTTTCAGATCTTATTCTCTAGGTATTTCTTAATCTATATCAGTTTGTGGCCCTTGCATCCCAAGGCCTGGACCTCACTGTCCTATCTAGATAGCACTGCCTTGCACCCCTGTCCCCAGAAAGCAGCATCATGTTGTGGCCAAGCACCTCTACTGGGTAACTGGTTGGTTACAAATGTTTCTTGCCAAGTAGGCTTATTATGTACAAGTGATTCTCAGAAAGGGCAGCAGCCTGCCAGACAGTTCCAGGGTGAAGGACATTTCCAATACCGGGACACCATCATCACTATACACAGAACTAATCAGAAAAGTACCATTTTGGACCAATTAGAAACTGACTATTTTCAGTCCTTCATTTCAATATCTTCATTTGGTGCTGTTCATAGGCCAATTGAAGGATGCTCTTTTCAGGCCTTCCTTTGCAGGTGGGCACAACCAATCAAAAGACACTATTTCTGATCCTTCATTTACATGTAATAAAAAGCCAAACAAGTTTTTTGATAGGTCAGTTTATGCATAGTGTGGCATCTAGTGAGTGTTTGATAGGACAACTTTCCCAGTGCCTTCTTTACATGAAAGAGAGACAACCTGGTATTTCTGAATACCCTTTCCCCTCATCCTTAGCCATTCATGAGCCTTCTCATTGGCCCGGTGTCACTCTGCAGCACATTTTCTGCCTTTGATCAATGTACACTTTTTCCCTTTTTCTATGTTTCTTGTCCAGTTCTTTGTTCACGATACCAAGAGCCTGCAAAGCCCTGGCATCTCCAATAATATTTCTCATTCTCTGCTTTATTTCATGCAGCAAATATTTAACATATTTCATTTTCTTTAGGTTTCTATCTCTTCTTGTTTTGGCGATTTCTTTTTTTCTTCACCTCTCTATCAGAGCATCTAGGTCTTTTTCTTTCTTTAACAATGGTTCTTTTTTGTAGCTTCCTAGAAAGGTATTTAGGTAAATACACTGGTACCTTGATTCACAAACTCAATTTTCTCTGCAATTCTGATTGTAAATTAAACTGGATGAGAACCAAATCAGATTTTCCCATAAGGTCAACATCGAACCTGACCATTGAATTTGATTCGGTTTTCACCCAACTCGGTTTGCAAGCAGAATCATAGAAAGAATCAAGTCTGCGAGCTGAGGTACCATTGTATCAGTTTGTGCCATACAACTAGTTTAATGTAACTCTATTATGGAGTAACTTAATATTTTCTTTTTTAGCTTCTCTTTAGTTAGTGAGACTTGTGAACTAGTGATGGGAAAATGAGTTGTTTTAAGGCTCGCAGACTTCCTGAAATCATCCTTGGAAGATTTCTCAAGACAAGCAATACATGGTCACTCTCACTCCTGTACATTGTTTCTCTAAGCCCTGTGGCCCTGCAGTAGGACACCCAGAAGCAGAAGGGTCTCATCTGTGAAGGGGGAAGCCAGTGTTGCTGATCTGCATGGATGCAGGCACACAGAGCTTGAAATCTGGAGGAACCAAGGATTGGAAGCCCAGGCTGTGGACCCCCAGAGCCATCACTCAGGGTAGGTAGTTTTCTTGGTGGAGATTGTGCATGAGACCCAACAAATGGCCACAGTGCTGTCCAAAGTGGGATGGGGCAGCTCATCTTCCCTTCAGAGGTGAAAATCAGATGTGAGGACTTCCTTGAAGCAGTTAGCAGATCTAGAAATAAAGACAGTCCCTCCATTTTTGGTTATTTGAGACACCAGACAAGGGGTTAAATTTTCCCTAAGCAGATGTCAGAATGGTTCAGCAAACTGCTGCTTAAACACCTTTTCAGCAGGTGGCAAGAAATGAGAAGGTACAGACCGGTCCTTCCCGATGGTGCAGATGGCTAGAGAGGTGCCTGAAGGAGGGGTTCAGAAACTGATCCCTGGACTCTGATCTGCAACCATAAATATTGTGTTATCCATCATCATAGGCATGCACGTTACCTGGCCAGGACTTGTCCAAAATGCGTTTAGCTACTGATGTTAGAGATCAGACAGAAGAGGCAAAGAATGGAGAGGGAGAAGGAATGTGAGTAATGTTTTTAATCAAGTCTGCTGTCTTCATTAATTTTCTCTGTCTCAAGATTCCTAATATGAAAACCAGCGATATTTATTTCTCTCAACCATTCTTCTTGAAGTCCTGTCCAGGATATTGGAAGGGATGCGTGGAGAAGAGAGATTGTTAGAATCAGAACTGTCAAATACCAGCTTTGGAAAGGACCTCAGAAAACCTTTCGAACAAGCTTTGTCCTATAAAAAAGGAAAAAAGACCAGGAGATTGACACCTGCTCAGTGTCACTCAGTTGGGAATGGAACGACCGGCCACACGGTGGCAGCACTGTCCCCTAGCTCCTTGGCTGTGATTAGCCCAGTAGGTGTTTTTGCTTCCACAGCAGGAGCACCCACCACCAGCACCACCACCTCCAGTTCCTTCAGAAACAAGCCGTTCTTTGAGGCGTACCCACAGTACTTATTAGAAAGAGTTTTCTTAATGCGTCTCCTTTCCTAAGTTAATGACTTGGAAACGATGAGGTTAGGCATGAGGGGGCAACGTTGTGTCTTTTCCTAATAACCAATGTTTTACATCTAACTTGCTAGGCTTGTGAATCCAGCGGCTGTATACAGGCGGATGGGGAGAAGGGAGGTGATGAGACACTCTAATCACACTCTAATCGAATCAGGCTGGCCCGGATGTGCTGATGAGCAGGTGCTCTGGGAGAGGTCCCGGGCAGGCTCTGCTGTGCCCCTTATCTGAACAGAGCTGATGAGCTGGCCCCCTTCCAGAGGAGGACCAGAGCAGGGAGGGACACGGAAAGCAGGAGTGTCAGGGACATATGGAAGGAAAAGTGAGTATTTACAGAGGAAAAGATGACGTGAATGCTGCGTTTAAACATCGGAAGAGGTGTTGGGGAGAAGAGGGATTGTTAGATTGGTTGAATGCTGGCTTTGGAAAGGACCCCAGGAATCCCATCATGCAAACTTTGCCTCGTGAAAAAGGAGAAGAAGGTCTGGAGGTGGATGCCTGCTCAGTGTCATGCAGTTGGGTGAACTATGATTCAAATATGTTCTCCGGTGGGGTTGTGAAGGGTAGAGTGGGTGGGGTGATGCATGAGGGGTGGCCTCCGTTTAGTGTTGAAGCAGAGACTGGGTGACTGGCGGGTTCTTGAATCACCCCGAGGGCTGACCACAGCCCAGCCACTAGAAAACCTCTGTGTTTTCTGCTGTGGTTCTCCTGGACTGCCACAGGACTCTTGGAATAATTGGGAATAACTTATGGTGATGAGAAGTTTGTGTGTACAGTCCTGGAGTGATGGGATCACAAAGTCTGGCTTTTTAAAAAGGCTGCTTCCATGTAGTAGCGGCAAACAGGAGGCTGGCAGTCTCTGGCCCAGGGTTCCCCAGTGTCCACGGGGCCACAGGCTGTTTTGGGGGCATTAACATGGAGCTTTCATTGCCAACTTTGCTCTTCCTGTCTCCCTGGAAATTAGTTTCTTTCTTTCTTTCTTTCTTTCTTTCTTTCTTTCTTTCTTTCTTTCTTTCTCTCTCACTGGGGATCGTGTTCAGGGAACAATGAAACTATATCTCCAGCCCTTTTCATTACTCTTCTATGTTTGATTTTGAGACAAGATCTTTGTGAGCTTCCCAGGTTGGCCTCAAGCTTAATGGTCCTTCTGCCTCAGCCTCCCCAGTAGCTAGGACTACACGTATGCACCATCATGCTCAGGTTAGAAAGTCCTCCTTAAGCAATATAAATTGAGCATCCCTTACATGAATATAAAAATATGAAATACTCCAAAATAAAAAAGTTTGAACATAGCCTAATAGTATAGAGGAAAATTCCATATCTGATCCCATGGAGTGGATCATAATCAAAACGCAAGTTCATTAAAGAAATTGTATAAAATAACCTTCAGGCTATGTGTGTATGGAGCATGATTTCATGTTTAGACTTGAGTCTTATCAACAAGACATTGCATATGTATAAGCAGCTGTTCTAGCCGCACCTCCACATCTGAACACTTCTTGTCTCAAGCATTTTGGAAAAGAGATATTCGACCAGTATGGAGTAGAAATGTTTGGCGACCTATCCAGGCATTGACTTGTTGCCTGTGTCAATGTACCCACGTGATCTGTGGGTGATTTCACCACACTTTGTGTGGCTTTGATGTGAATGGTAATAAATTAGTTCAGACTGTTCCCTAGTCACAGGATAATGCTGAAATTAAGTGTTTAATGACTGTTTTTAAAAGATGAATAAGAATGGTAGCAATGCTCAAAGGAAAATGAGGTCTTATGTTCTATTCCCCTGGAGCGTGGACTGGTAACAGTGGAAGGAATGGTGGTAATTATGCGTCCCCAATGTCTCACAAGTATTCTAGGACTTCAGTGTGTAAAGAACATAAGCATATGAAATGGTTGCATATATGCCTTTAAGTGTACTGGACATATAATGGCTAGTGTATTAAACATCTTTGTCTACAGTGACCCAAAAGAAATCACTTAGTTAAAAAGTAAGGAGACTGAAGAAAGGGAAAGGGAAGAAGAAGTGAAAGAATTAAGGTGCCCCATCACTACACACACACACAAGAAGAAATTAAATGTGCTATGTATATGAACCCCCTCAATGAATGTCATCATTATGTCATTATGGACTGATGTCTTAATTACTTTTCTCCTTGCTGAGATAAAGTATCTAGCACCCACAATTAAGGGAAGAGAGATTTATTTCACTCATGTTGTAGAGGTTTCAATTCATAGTTAACTGGTTCCAAAGCAGGGTGGTATGGCGGAGGAGAAATAGGCCATGGCATGGAGGAGCAGGCAGCAAGCAGCAGTAGCAAGCTAGCCCTCTTTCTGTCCCTTGTAATCCATCCAGGCTACGAGCTTATTGATTGGTGCTGTTACAGGCAGCTGAGCTAGTTAGAAATATTATAAGCAGTCAGAGAGGGCTAGGCCCTCAAAGAAACTGGCACAGGGGACCAGATGTCTGGTGACCTTGGAGGAGATACAATACCTCTTGCTGAGCCAGATCTCAAAACAGAAGGCAAACAAAAGCAACCACACCCTTAAGTATAATCCTTAGGGATTAAATCTGGATCACTTTGAGAACCCAGGAGTCACCACCCCAACCTCCTATAGGAATAAGCCACTGATCCATACAGAATGCTCACTTGCCATGTGACTTGCTTCCCTAATTGTCCCTTATTTAGTCTATTTTACCTGAACAATTAAACTAATTGGTTGACCATAGGTCTATCCCAGTTTTCCCCACTTTAGACCCACCTCACCTCATGGTTTTACTCTAAAAAACTCCTGAGAAAATACAGAATCTTTGGCAAACTACTAGGGACCCCTTCTGTCTCTCTCTCAGACAGAAGCTTTCTTTCTCTCAATAAATATTTCTGCCCTTGCTCTCCCTGGTAAGCGGCTGTGGTGTGGCAGACTATGGCCCTTCCAGGGGAAGAACCACTAGCGGCTCCTGAGATCCGCGCCATGTTGGAAATTAGGACACTGGGAAACTAAGCAACCAGCTCACCTCCCTGCTAAGCTGTAGTGAACCTACTGGTGCCCGCATATAGTCAAACATCCTTCCTCTGTCCCCCCATTAGCAAATGGGAACCAGAAATCTGAGCATATCTTGAGAGGCTGACCATAGCAAATAAAGGGGTTTTCCTTCTACCATCTCTTTGAAGGCAAACATTTTTATTACTGTTTTGCTTTATCCTGATTAATGGTACTGCTCTATTCAATATTCTGTTTTGATAAGTTCTATAATGTTCTGTATTTCATTTTATTTTGATATACGTGACTGAAAGAACAACTATTGTAAAGATAACGAAATATACTATGATACCTATTACTGTTATCCCGGTAACCTGCTGTCAAGTTCTGTACCAGTTTCACTACATGGTCTCAGTTGGCTTTATTCTGTCTTGTTCTGTTGTATTTTACTACTTTAAAAAAATATTTTTGCTCTTAACTTCTATTGTTCCTAAAATTCATTCTTTGATTTTAGAGAACACAAACTTATTCTGGACACATGGCAGGTCAGGCATTTCATTCCCTGTCTCAGTGCCACCCATACCCAGCGTGGGAATTCTATTATCCACACCCTTTATCCCAGCACTGCATCTTTACTCCACATTTACATACCTTAATCTGCCCCCCTTCCCATAACTCCCCACTTTATGACTATGTGAGGCTTTGGGGAGACCTCTAGATATAAACTATAACAACCCCAAGCATGTACTAACAAAAATTTAAAAATTAAAAGGTAAAGACATGAGAGAAATAAAAGCTGTTGTTAAGTGCTGTGTGCCACATTTTATACTGAGTGCTTTGTCTATGTGTCCTCATTTACCCAAGAGTTGAACTTCATTTTATAGGAAATGTTAGAACAAAGCAAAGTCACACAATTCGCTCAGATTCTCATAGTTAGAACCACAGAGTTGTCTCTATTCAGATAAACCCAGATCTGCCTGAAATCAGAACCTGGGTTTCTAAGCAGCTGAGTACACGGCTCTCTAGAATGTAATCATCTTTCAGCAGAGAGCCTTTGGTTTTCATGGGTCCCCAGAGCAAAGTAGACCCTCCCCCACCAGTAATCCTTGTTGACTCAGTGAGTAGATAGCACAGGCATATGCTGATTCTGGCAGAAGTCATTAGGTGGCATTTGGATGTTGCAAGCCTAGAAAACCCTGACCTAAGTTACTGGCTCAAACCATGTTCTCAGGACCCAGCTTGAGTTTCTGCTGCAGAGGAGACTCCCTTCTCCATGGACAGTCCAGGCCTGAGAAGACTGGGAAGGTCAAGAGGCAGTCACACCTATCGGTCCACTTCCTACCAGAATAGCTCTCTTCTTTCACCTAAATGTCCTAAAAAGTCTCAACTGCTGTTACAACTAAAATAAAAGGAATCAAGAAAACAAACAAAACAAAAACAAAAACAAAGTTAACAAAACACCCCAACCCTTCAGCAATTGTATGGATGACAACATTGATCTGTAGAAGCAAATGATTAGAATAAAGCCAGCAGGTGATATTTCACCCAGTGCTCATTTCATCGTGCTGAGAAGTTAGATTTGAAGCTACTGGAAAGGATTATGATAGCAGGAGCACCATGTCTGTCAGGCAGAGAAACAGCTGCAGGACCAGCCCTGATTTACAGAAAGATGCTTTATAAATGCTGGGCAAGACCAGCCCTGACTTACAGAAAGATGCTTTATAAATACTGGGCATTCCCTTCTAGAAGAATGTCTTGGGTAGACCAGCTCTCATCACTTCACTTCATCACAAAGAAGAGGTTATTTGGAGCCACACATTTAGTAATTGGAATTTAGTAAGTGGAATTGACCAGTCTAGTTTTAAAAAGGGTTTTAGGGCACACTATAATACAAAGATATTGCTCAAACTAATCCAAGCTAACTAAAAACAGTTTAAAACCTACACAGATTAACATTATTAACAACAAAGAAGTGCAAGATAAATTATAAGTGAGAAGTAGCAACTTTAGTAGGGGGAGAGATAACTTCCAGCAAGCCTGGCATCCAGGCTTTGAGGATGGTAGAAATAACTCTGGAGGGAGCCTTAAAGGATTGTGGGGTTCAAGCAGTCGGGAAGAACAAGATTTTGAACAAGTGATGGAGTTGGGGATTGGGTAGGTAGGTAGTAAACACAGAAAAACTCTTGAGATGGAAGTTCCATCTTACCATTTATTTGGAATAAAGGATGTGAAATAATTTAAATACTGAAGAAATTAAAGAGATAAAAATTAAATCCCAGCCCCCACAATAACATTTTAAATGAACTAGAGATTTTGTTAATGCATAGTGTGAATTTTTATTCTCATTAAATAATAAATCCCTGAGTTCAATGAAATAGCTAAGTTTATATTTTGAGGGATATAATATTTGATACATCTATTCTAAAAACAAAACTTCCTATGAAGACTAATTGGTGAGATTAGCTGTGGAAATTCAGAAGAGGCAATAAGGGAAAATTGCTCAATAGTAAAAGAAAACACTTAATAAGCTAGTGTTGCATTGTATAATAATAGAAATTTATGAGTGAAATCAAGCAAGAGATCCTGGTCCCTAAGGGAAGTTAGTGTGTGAGAAAGAGGCCTGTTGTTTCCTAGGGTTGGTGTAACAAAGTGCCACAGTAGGTGGCCTCCAGCAGTGTAAACTTACACACTGATTGTTCAGGAGGCCAGAGGTCTGAGGTCAGGCCGATGGCAGGGTCCCACCGAGGTCTCCAGGGAAAACTCCTGTCTTGCCTCCTCCAGCCAGGAGTGTCCTGGCTTGTGGCTTCACATGGCCCTCTTCTCCCTGTGCTTTTGTACTCAACAGGTGTTCTCTGCTCTGTGCCTGTGTTTCTTTTCTTTTTAAAAAAATTTTTTTTTATCTTAAAGAGGGTAAGATTAAGCATAACAAAACAGAACAAAACAGATCAAAGGAAACAATTTTAAGAAACACAGATTTCAAAGCAAGTCCACTGGAGATCTTCACTGTCTATCTTATTTTCTCTAGTTTTCTTCCAAATAGTTGTTCCCATCTCTACACACATTATATACATACTGAACATTATAGAACTAATCAAATCATAACAGGATGATGAAGGCTTTTTAGGTCTTCAAGACCTGACATTGGGGAAGTCAATAATGACTACCATAATGTCTCTCATTCTCTTAGTAGTAGCTGTCCTTATCTTTACATATGCTGAAATTGAACATAAGAGACTAGAGTAATATCACTCTGAACAGTGAATAATAGTATTGCTAGATTTTGTATCATAATGCTACAGAATTAGCACTGGGTTTCTTAGTGTCTCTTCTTCAGACTATCTGTTCATTGCATCGTGCATTGTATAATCTGTTCTTGTAAACAGTTTAGACATTCCCCCCATGTGTGAATCTCTACATGTATACCTATCCTTTCTGCATTATAGGGGAAAACAGATCATAACAAGGCAACAAAACAAATTCCTAGAAAAACATGAAATGAAAAAGACATATAAAACCACAATATAAGGTGATCTACAGTACTTACTATCCTTTCTTTTGTTATTTTCAATAGAATTGTCCACATCATTAGGCATAATATAATTAAACATAGCATTACATAGCTACTTTAATAAAAACATAACTTTGGAGACATTGTAGGACTTTGAAAGCAGTTAATAATCAAACCAGAATGGGTATCTTATCACATCTTGTCATCTTCAGAGTAGTTGCCTCTACTCTTAGACTTGATACTATCAAGCATACCAAATTCGAATAAAATCAAGTTGAGGCAAAACAGCGGTCTAACAAACCAGCTTCAAATAAGAGCAGTCATAGTAAGACACTAAGTAATACAGGGTTTCAGTTTAAGTTAATAGGAAATTAAGGATAGTTACCGTGGTATAGCCTGCTATTTTTGGGATAGCTGCCTGTGCCCTCAAATCTAGTATGAGTAGACAGACTGGAACAGAAGAAAATCAAACTAAACAGAGCAGTAAGACTACTGTGACTTTTAAATCCTGATACACTATTAAGAATGTCCTCTGCCTTCCTTTTTTAGGCAATTCCTCACCTTTCCCTTTCTCAGGATGCTTTGTATATTTTGGGTCCCACTAGTTCCTTTAGTTTTTAGATTAGGGGTCAACCCATTATCTATCTGAATGTTGCTGAACCTTTTTACTCCTGAGCTTGATCTTGAGCTGTACTCCTTTACTTACTAAAGCCACAAGGTTTTCCTTCCTTCCAGTTGTGTATGTCTACACTGCACAAAAGTGTCATAACTTTCCAACCTATCTGCAGCTGCTGGATGAGTTGTCCCTATTTCTCTCTGGTTCCCTGTCACATAGAGCATTGTTCTCTCATCTTTGACTTTCAGTTTATTAACCCTCTTTGAGTATATTTCCTTTCAGAGCTTCTCGATGGATCCTGCTTCATCTACTCTGCCTGTGTTTCTTTTTGTTAGTGTATCAAGGCTATCAGTATTAAAGATTATAGCCTACATTCTCTGTCTCACCTCTGCTATTCTATTTTTCTGCTATTATTTGTTCACTTTTCTCCTTCATTTCACTGTCTGCCCACATTGAGGCCTCTCTGCCACTGTTGCTGGAATCCTGGTATTTTTTTCACTCTCTCTCTCCAGAATGTTCTTCAGTAATTTTTGTAGGGTTGGATTGGTGGCCATGAACTCCCACAGTTCCTCCTTGTCTTGAAAACATCTAATTTCTCCATTAATTTTGAGAGAGAGTTTTTCAGGGTACATCAATCTGGGTTGGAAGTTATTTTCTTTCAGGGCTTGGACTATTTCCCCGCAGCTCCCCCCACCCAGGCTCTTCTCAATTTGAGAGTTTGTGTTGATAAGTCTGTCGTTATTTTGATGATTTTTCCTTTGTAGGTAATCTGCTTCTTTTCTCTGGCCACTTTTAATATTCTGTTCTTGTGGTGGATTTCTGGGATCTTGATTATTATACATCTGCGTGTAGATCTGTTTTGGTTGGAGTTGGTTGGAGTTCTGTATGCCTCATTTATCTGGATAGCATTTCTTTTTCCTATGCTTGAGAAGTTTTCTTTAAATATTTCTGTGAATAGTCTTTGTAATTCATTTGTGGTTACTCCTGCTTCTTTGCTCATATTTTTTATTCTTAAGTTATAGATTTTCTTGTTCTCTTCTAGCCTTTGAATTGTTTCTTCCTGGTTCCTTGTTATCTTTAAGAGATCTTTTCTTTCATGATCACACATTATAAATCTCTCTTCAAGTTTCAAAAGGCTAACTTTAGTTTCTGTCAAGGCATTTTGCCAGCTTTCAATGGAGTTTTTAGTTTCCTGGTAGTCTCTTTGGATCTGTTTCATGTATTCTAGATTTTGTTTATATTCTTTACCAAAGGTTTCTCTTTCTTTTCTGGGTTCCTCAATTCTTCCATCTGTGTTTTCTTGGGAGGGGCTTAGCATTTCTTTAATTAGTGTTTTTATATCTTGTCTCACTTGGATTAGAATTTCAGTTTTAGGTTTGTCTATGAGGTCACGAAGGTATTTCTTTATGTTTGCTGATGTTTGGGCTAATATTGCATGGTTGCTGCACTGGTTCTCTTCTGTATTTACCTCTCCTGGGCTTATTTTCCCAGGGTCAATAGCTGGAGGTTTTTTTCTTATTTCTATCTCTTGTCATGTTTCTGGTTTCTTTCAGACAGGTGTGTCATGGAGGCCCCTGGCCCTCTCTGTATTGCTTATGGTTTTTTTGAAGCATGCTGACTGGGGTTTTGTTGCCTTCTC